ACACAAAAAAATCTGAGGATGGCACAAAACAGACACATATATCAATGGAACAGAATAGAGAGCCCAGAAATGGACTCTCAACTCTAGGTCAAGAAATGGGCAGAGAACAGGAACAGACATTTCAGCAAAGAAGACATCCAGATGGCCAACAGACACATGAGAAAGTGCTCCACATCACTTGGCATCAGGGAAATACAAATCAAAACCACAATGAGATACCACCTCACACCAGTCAGAACGGCTAAAATTAACAAGTCAGGAAATGACAGATGTTGGCGAGGATGTGGAGAAAGGGGAGCCTCCTACACTGTTGATGGAATGCAAGCTGGTGCGGCCACTCTGGAAAACAGCATGGAGGTTCCTCAAAAAGTTGAAAATAGAGCTGCCCTACGACCCAGCAATCACACTACTGGGTGTTTACCCTGAAGATACAAATGTAGTGATCAGAAGGGGCATGTGCATCCAAATGTTTATAGCAGCAATGTCCACAATAGCCTAACTATGGAAAGAGCCTAGATGTCCATCAACAGATGAACAGATAAAGAAGATGTGGTCTATGTACACAATGAATACTATGCAGCCATCCAAAAAAAAAAACAAAAAGAAAAACAAAATCTTGGCATTTGCAACAAAGTGGATGGAACTAGAGGGTATGATGCTGAGTGAAATAAGTCAGTCAGAGAAAGACAATTCCATGTGATCGCCCTGATATAAGGAATTTGAGAGGCAGGGCAGGGGGGGGTTTGTGGAGGAAAGGGAGAGAAAAAATGAAACAAAATGGGACTGGAGAGGGAGACAAACCCCAAGAGACTCTTAATCTCAGGAAACAAACTGAGGGTTGCTGCGGGGAGCGGGGGGATGAGGGGGCTGGGTGATGGACATTGGGGAGGGTATGTGCTACGATTGAGTGCTGTGAAGTGTGTAAGCCTGAGATTCACAGACCTGAAGCAAATAATACATTCTGTTAATAATTAAAAAAAACCCCTAAGATTCCATATGAAAAAAAAAATTGAGGAAAAATACTGAATACCCTTTCAGTATTACTCTGACTCCACAGACAAAAATGTCACACCATGTGTGAATGAGGAAGATTCCATCATATACCTTCGTTGCATGCACGTCTTATTTGAAATTGAAAAAGGAACTAGTCATGGGACACCTGGGTGGCTCAGGGGGTTAAGCCTCTGCTTTTGGCTCTGGTCGTGATCTCAGGGTCCTGGGATCGAGTCCCCCATCAGGCTCTCTGCTCAGCAGGGAGCCTGCTTCCTCCTCTCTCTCTCTTTTTGCCTGCCTCTCTGCCTACTTGTGATCTCTGTCTGTCAAGTAAATAAATAAGATCTTTTTTTTTAAGATTTTATTTACTTATTTGACACACACAGAGAGAAATCACAAGTAGGCAGAGAGGCAGGCAGAGAGAGAGGGGGAAGCAGGCTCTCTGTTGAGCAGAGAGCCCCATGCAGGGCTCGATTTCAGGAACCTGAGATCATGACCTGAGCCAAAGGCAGAGGCTTAACCCACTGAGCCGCCCAGGTGCCCCGTAAATAAATAAAATCTTAAAAAAAAAAGAAAAAGAAAAAGAAAAGGGTACTAGCCATAACTCACTTCAAAGAAAATGGGCAGGGGCCCTGGGTGGCTCAGTGGTTCAAGCCTCTGCCTTCGGCTCAGGTCATGATCTCAGGGTCCTGGGATCGAGCCCCATATCGGGCTCTCTGCTCAGCAGGGAGCCTGCCTCCTCCTCCTCTCTCTCTGCCTGCCTCTCTGCCTACTTGTGACCTGTCTGTCAAATAAATTTTAAAAAATCTTAAAAAAAAAAGTGGAAAAAATGAAAATGTATTTTTTATTAGCAAAGCCCATTTATAAAGCTAAGATTTTACATCATGCAGATTGTTCTCCCATATCTCAGCATCCTGATAGATGCCTGCCTCAGCTTATTTCTAATAATTAAAATAAGTGAATGACCAGAAAAAAAAAAAAGAAAATGGGCAAATGATATGAACAGAAATTGTATGACAGAAGACATACAGGTGGTAAATAAACACATGAAAAAAAATGCTGAAAGGCAGAAATCCCTAGGAACTGCAGTTACAACACAGCACTGCACACGTGTTAAAAGGGCTGACATGAAAGACTGATCTGAGTGCGTACTGTCAGGGACAGAAGAAACTGCACCTCTCACATATGCGGGGTGGGAATGCGACGGTGAACAGTTTAGATTCCATTTTGGCCCTTGGCCCTTTCAGGGAAATGTTAACACTCACCTACCTGTGACTTAGCCAATGCACATTGAGTTTTGACAGAAGAGAAATGAAACCTCTATCCGCGTAAGGAACCATAATGAAAATATATAGAGGGATTCGTTTGTGTAAGTGAAACACTGGAAGTAACCCAAGTGCTCCCAACAGATGAAGAGATCGATAGTGTATATATCCAGAAAAGAAAACAGTACTGTTGACTGAAAGGGATACATAAATGACATAAAATGACCTCAGAGCCAAATAACCAAAGTAAAAAGGTGAGAGGGTGTCTGGGTGGTTCAGTCAGTTAAGCCTCTGCTTTCAGCTCAGATTGTGAGCTCAGGGTCCTGGGATAAAGGCCTGCATCAGACTCCCTACTGGCGAGCCTGCTTCTCCCTCTGCCCCTCCCCCAGCTCATGCTAACAAGCAAAATCTTAAAAGGATGGAAATCCAGCTTGAGGTGGAATGGTTTATTTATCTATTTTTAAGATTTTATTTATCCATTGTCAGAGAAACAGAGAGAGAGAGAGAGAGAGAGCGCGCAAGCAAAGCAGGGGGAGCTGCAGACAGAAGCAGGGTCTCAGCTGAGCAAGAAGCCCAATGCAGAGCTTGATCTCAGGACCCTGGGATCATGACCTAAACCCAAGGCAGATGCTTAACCCACTGAGCCACCCATGCAACCCAAGGAATGGTTTATTGAAGGCCTTGGGGACAGAAGCAAGACTGGGGCAACCTTAGCAGAAGTAGGACTCCACACCACCTCCACCAGTTAAGACTTGCTTTTATAACTCTGGAGGCTGGGGTGTACGTGAGAGACAACCAGGGAGGAAGATGATTCAGAACACGTGTCTGCCATAGCTATACAATACACTAAGAAGAATGCTGCCTAAGCGGGGTCACAAAGTTACACCCCTGGACTCTGAAATCTCCCGTTTTTGTCATTTTCTGGCCTAAACCACAGTGGCCTTGACATGTAAGCACCACAGAGGACAAAAGAATTCAGAGACCTTTGGATTATTTTGACAACGTGTATCTGAAAGTGGAGAATTTCTGTGCACACCGATCCTTCCCAGCCAGTCATTGCAACATCTGAGGGCACACTTTTTTAAGAGATACACATCACTTAGGTGGCTGATGTCTTCTCTACTCCCTAGTTACCCAATCATCTAGATTACCAATTACAGTCCCCCTGCCCCTGTGGAGTTCCAAGTGGAAACTGCACAGCCGGTCACAAGGCTCCTGTGAAGGATGTGGGTAGAGATTCCACTCAACAGTGCCCGGCAGCCTGGGCTATCAGCTGTGGACAAGCAAAATATTCTTGTTCCCACAAGCACTGGAGAAGGTCTCAAGTGCTCCCTCTTCACGGTGACCTCTGGGCACACAAAGCTTCCTGGCACCCAGACCACAAAACCCAAATGTGGATCCGAGGAGGCTGGATTAGCTAGAACTGATGTAACACGATACCACACTCTGGGTGACCAGACAACAGAAATTTATTTCACCCCAATCTGGAGTCTTGAAATTGAACATAAGGGGTCAGCCGGGTTAGTTTCTTCTGAGGCCTCTCTCCTTGGCTTGCAGATGGGGATGCCATCTTCACAGTCACCTGGGTGTGCTTGTACCCTCATCTCCTCTTCTTACGACACCAGCCATACCGCATGAGTCCATCCTAATAACCCACTTCAACTTCATGATGTCTTTGAAGATGCTATGTCTAACTATCGTCACGTCGTGAGGTTGCGGGGGTTTATAACTTCAAAATGCGAATTTTGAGTGCACATTCAGCCCATCAGATAGGTTTTAGAGTTAATGCAAATTAAGGCCCGGGCTGGAGAATAATAATGTTGTATGCAGGTAGGTAATACCCATTCTGGGACACAATTAACATGGAATGCAATGAAATCTGTTCACTCCTACATGTGGGGAGCCCAACTCTGATTTCAAACCACTCCTTAGAGTGAACACAACACCTAGGATTACAGGTAATTAAATAAAAAAGACAGATTAATGCATAAACATTTCCTCTGGAAATGCAGATTGGAAATTGATTGGAAATGCAATTGAAATTGCAGCTTGGAAGCTGCAAAGATTTATCAGAAGCATTAAAAGACCAACAAGTCCCTATGAGATTTAGTCTTCCTGTGCAACTAACTGCCCAAAACATAGATCAGGTCCTGATGGTCAACACTGGGTTACATGCATGACCAAAATTAGAAGGAAATGAAGAGACCCAATTACTTGTAATTTCCATCAGCAAATGACAAAGGACGGCAGCTCTGTTAAGCATGTTGGGTGGTGACTGATCTACATTATTGGGACCATCCAGGTGGCAGAGATGAAATGACTTCTGCCATGCAATCTGGCAGTGACTTCTAGCATTAACTTCAGATACATCAGAACGCAATATACACCTTCTGAATTTTTTGCCAAAAGGCTGAACTTATGCAAAGTCACTCCATTGTAGAGATTCAGGTGAACAAAGTTCAATTCAGGAAGGTGGCTTCCTCAAAAAGGTTCTTCTCCAGAGTAAATATTCTAAAGAAGGAAATGTTACTTTTTTAAATTTTTTTTTTTAAGATTTTGTTTATTTATTTATTTGACAGACAGAGATCACAAGTAGGCAGAGAGGCAGGCAGAGAGAGGAGGAAGCAGGCTCCCTGCTGAGCAGAGAGCCCGATATGGGGCTCGATCCCAGGACCCTGGGATCACGACCCGAGCCAAAGGCAGAGGCTTTAACCCACTGAGCCACCCAGGCGCCCCGGAAATGTTACCTTTTATGCTATTTTTAACTCTTTCTGCAGTGTGAAATCTCAAGTGTGGAATGAATACAGATAACCGGCTAAAGGAATTGTGTCATCCACCTACTCAATGAAGCCTTGCTTCAGGGCTAATTCAGATTTTCATGAAACGTTATCTTTGAATTATCTCCCAAGACATCACATGCTAAACCTAGTGCATTAGAGGATAGGGGTTGAACACACCAGTTTTTGTGAACATAAACATTCAGTTCATAATATTGCCCATAAGGACTCTATTTCTTGTGTACTTCCTCGGGTTGAAGGAGACTAAAGATTTAACAAAAAGATTCCCCACAACACCAGCACCCCTAAGGCCTGTTGCTACTGTGAACTCTGTGATGATGACTAAGAGCACCATGACTCATAAAAGATTTCCCACATTCGCTGCAAGCAAAAGACTTTTCTCCTATATGAATTCTCTGGTGTTTTATGAATGTCGACTTACACTTCCAAGATTTCCCACATTCACTACACTTATAAGGTTTTTCACCTGAGTGAACTCTTATGTGTACATTGAGGCTATTTCTTCTGACAAAGGACTTGCCACATTCACTGCACTCATAAGGCCTTTCCCGAGAGTGAACTCTCTGGTGAGAACGGAGGACAGAACGAGCAGTGAAAGATTTCCCACACTGACTGCACTCATAAGGCCTTTCTCCAGTGTGAAGTCTCTGGTGATCACGGAGGACAGAACTAGAGGTAAAAGATTTCCCACATTCACTACAATCATAGGGACTTATTCCAAGGTGACTCTGACGATGATACCGGAGGGCACAGCTATGACTAAAAGATTTCCCACATTCACTGCACAGATAAGGTTTTTCTCCCGTGTGAATTCTCTGGTGTTGAATGAACGTTGACTTATAGTTCAAAGATTTCCCACATTCATTACATTTATAGGGTCTTTCACCTGAGTGAACCTTGATGTGAACATTGAGGCTATTTCTGTGGAGAAAGAACTTGCCACACTCATGGCACTCATAGGGCCTTTCTCCAGTGTGCACTCTTTGGTGAGAACGGAGGGCAGAACTAGAGGTAAAAGATTTTTCACATTCACTGCACTCATAAGGCCTTTCTCCTGTGTGTATTCTCTGGTGAGAACGAAGGACAGAAGTAGCTGAAAAAGATTTCCCACATTCACTGCACTCATAAGGCCTTTCTCCTGTGTGAATTCTCTGGTGTTGAATGAATGTTGACTTACACTTCAATGATTTCCCACATTCATTACACTTATAAGGCTTTTCACCTGAGTGAACTTTTAGGTGCACACTCAGGCTATTTCTTCGGACAAAGGTCTTGCCACATTCAGTGCACTTATAAGGTCTTTCTCCAGTGTGGACTCTGTGGTGATAATGAAGGGCAGAACTTGTGGTAAAAGTTTTTCCACATTCACTGCACTCATAAGGCCTTTCTCCAGTATGAAGTCTCTGGTGATCACGGAGGACAGAACTAGTGGTAAAAGTTTTCCCACAGTCACTGCATTCATAAGGCCTTTCTCCAGTGTGAACTCTCTGGTGAGAATGAAGCACAGAACTAGTGATGAAAGATTTCCCGCATTCACTGCACTCATAAGGCCTCTCTCCTGTGTGAATTCTCTGGTGTTTAATCAATGATGACTTACACTTCAAAGATTTCCCACATTCATTACACTTATAAGGCCTTTCACCTGAGTGAACCTTTCTGTGTACTTTGAGGATATTTCTTCGGACAAAGGACTTGCCACATTCTGTGCACTGATAAGGTCTCTCTCCTGTGTGAATTCTCTGATGATACCGTAGGTCAGTCCTAGAGATAAAAGATTTCCCACATTCACTGCAAGCATAAGGCCTTTCTCCTGTGTGAATACTCCGGTGTTTAATGAAGGTTGACTTAAATTTAAATGATTTCCCACATTCATTACAATTATAAGGTCTTTCCCCTGAATGAACCTTTATGTGTACATTCAGAGTATTTCTTCGTAGAAAGGACTTGCCACATTCACTGCACTCATAAGGCCTTTCTCCTGTGTGAATTCTCTGGTGTTTAATGAATGCTGACTTACACTTCAACGATTTCCCACATTCATTACATTTGAAAGGCCTTTCACCTGAATGAACATTTATGTGTATACTGAGGCTATTTCTTTGGAGAAAGGACTGGCCACGTTCACCGCACTCACAAGGCCTTTCTCCAATGTGAAGTCTCTGGTGGTAATGGAGGACCGAACTACTGGTAAAACATTTCCCACAATGACTGCACTCATACTGTCTTTCCCCCGTGTGAGATCTCTGATGATATGAGAGCGCAGACATAGACGGAAAAGATTTTGCACAGCAACGACACTTATATAACCGTTCTCCAGACTGAACCCTATGACTAATCGACAATGAGCTCCCACTAAGGGATTCTGCACACTCGCTACAAACATAACTCATTCCTCCACTGTGCCATCTCTGGATATGAAGGGGGACAGATTTGCCACCTAAGGATTTCCCACATTTGCTGCACATGTACTGCCTGGACCCACCCTGAGTCTTCCCATGTTCATTCAGGGTTGGTTGTTGCCCAAGGGATTTTCCACATGGACCAAACTCATGATGTCGTGCTCCAGTATGGTATCTCTGGTGTATGGCAAATAAGGATTTGTACCTGAATGTTTTCCCACATTCACTGCACACAAAGGACTCTCTACCAAGGTGGATACCCTGCTCCCGAGTATCCGTGTGTTTGGGACCAAAGGCGTTCTTGCATCCGCCCCAAGTGCCATGACTGCTTCCGCGTTGTAACACTGTCCTACACTGGGGGATCGTGTGTGGCTTCTCCCCAGTACGAGTGGCCTCTTGCCCCAGATGCCCCGAGCCAGACAGCAAGCCCTTCTCAACCTCTCCACAGGTAAAGGGCTTTCCCGAACCACCGGATCCCCAGCTCTTGACAGCAGAGGCCCTGCCCACACGGCTTCTGAATGGTTTTGCTCCCGCGGGCTGCTCCTGCTGCTGCTGCTGCTGCTCCAACTTCACACCGAAAGAAAATCGTTTCCCGCAGGCCCCACACCTCAACCGTTTCTGGCCGTTTTCTTTCCCCTGGAGCTCAGCCAAGTGGAAAATGTCTCTCAAGACGGGACCACACATCTCACAGGGGTGGGTCTTCCGGGAAGACGGAGCGGCCCTGGGCGTCCCGGTCTGGGACACGCCTACAGAAGCGCTCTGTGCAAAGGGGGCCTCCTCATCCTCTGCTCCACAGCAGCAACCTGAAGGCAGAGAAACGCTGGTGAAACACGTGCTGGCTGTAGCGCGGGGTGAACCCATCACACACGCACCCGACTCACCTAAGTACAGCATGCTTTTCCAGACAAAGGAGACAATTCATTTGAAAGAGAGGTCTCTGTGCACGACTGGGCACAACCAATCAGAGTACTAGGGAGAGCACACTAGAAGGACAGAAAACTAGGGTATGACACAAGGAAGACAGCCAGAGCCTACAGCTTATTCTTTGCCCAAAGGTTTGTGTAGGTCCATTTCTGCTACTGAGATTTGGCCGAGTAGAGCCTACAGGAATATCCCACCCCAAGACATTTACTTGTGGTCAAGGACAGTTGAGGGCATGTGAATATGTCATGGTAAAACTTTCAGGGGTGAATGCTGAACCACACGGAAATAGCAGTGAGAGATACGGGTGGCATGTGGAGGCCCGAGAAGCATTAATTACCCCTATGCTGGACATCATGGAAGTACCAAAGGGTAGAATTCAGAAGTCCACAAACTGTCAACAGTAAGGAAGGAAAGACAGAAATGGGGTGTGGCCATCTGCGGAGACACTGCGGTCAGGTTGAAGAAACTGAAGAAACTCAGTATGATCTGAACACAGTGCTGGTATCACACCTTTCCCAGCTGCCATCCACCAGAACCAGGTTCCCTATGAGCCCACCTGGTCATGCCTGGAGCATGTCCATGCTATGACACACAACGGACTCTTCCCTGGAAGCCTTCCTGAGCAACCAAAGGGTACCAGAAGCATACCAATACTGTAGGAAAACGGGCCAAGGGGACCGCCAGCACTGTCCCAGAGCTACTCAGGACACAACAAAGAAAAACATCCTATGTGACTGATGGCAGCAGGATGGCAGGAAAGCAGAAATCATCTCTCGCCTCAACAAAAAATCAGTTCGACAGCTGTCTATGAGTGGCCTTAGCCTGAAGTGCCCAAGAGCCCATTAACACTGACTAGAACACAGGAGACCATCAAAGGGGGCACAAGCACACAGAAAGACGGCTGGAGACTGTATTAGCACAGGTATGTGTGATGCGTGAGAAATGAGGCCTGGGCTGGCTCCATCCGCCCCGGGGTGGGTGCGACTGTGGCCCCTGATCGACACAGCCTCCAGCTTCCTGCTCCACAGGGGACACCGGAACACTGGCCAGCGAGTTAACCCATGTCTGAAGCCAAAGCAATGTGAGAAAGAAGATCAAGCTGAAGGCAGCACACTTGTGGTTTCAAACTATACTACAAAGCCATTGTTTTCACAACACTAGGGCACGGGCATCCAAACAGACCAGTGGAACGGAATGAAGAGCCCAAAAGTAAAGCAACACGTCTACAGATGACTAATCTTTGACAATGAGGCCAAGAATCAACCCTGGGGAAGAATAACCTCTTTCACACTACTGTGATATCTGACTGTCCAAATGAAAACACAAGGATCCTGGGTCTCCTGCTTGCAGCACTCAAGGAAATGAACTTCAAATTGATTAAGGACCTACACATAGGATCTCAAACCCTAAAATTCACAGGAAAAAAACATAGGGAAAAGCCTCCGTAACCTTATTCCTGACAATGCTTTTTTGAGTAGGACATCTGAAGCACACACAATGAAAGCAAGCACTCACAAATACCACTACACCAAATTGAAAAGTGCAACTTTTCAGGGGCACCAGAGCCAATGAAACACACCAGAGAGTGAAAAGGATGTACAAGTGACTAACACGTGCTCACAATCACCAATCATCAGGGAAACGAAAACCCAAACCACAAGATATCACCTCCTACCTGTTACAATGGCTATTACCAAAAAAGACAAGAGGTAACACCCTGGTCAGGATGTGCAGAAAAAGCAACGCTGGAATACCGCTGCTGGGAATGGGTACAGGGAAGTCTGTATGGAAAATACTAGGGACACCCAACAAAAATTGAAAATACAACTACCACACAGTCGACCACCGCCATTTCTAGGTATGTATTCCAAGGACACAGAATCCGTATCTCCACAACCTCCCCGAACAGGAACATCCACTGCAGTACCATTCACAAAGCCAACGTATGGAAACATTACTGTGTGTCAGAGTTTATACTGACAAATTGGGGGCAACCTCCCAACTCAGTCCATAGAGTACACAACTCTTGATCTCAGGTGGTGAGTTTAAGCCCCACAGTGGGCATGGAGTCTATCTTTAAAAAAAAAGAATAAAAAAATAAATTGTTTCTAGGTAGAGAAATAAATAATGTGACAAAAAACATTTAGTACACCCATGTGCAGGAACAGTCAGCCATAAAACTGCAGGCAACCCTGCCACTTGCCACAAACAGATGAATCTGAAAAACACCACACTAAGTCAAACAAGCCACACGGCAAAACACAAACCCTGTATGTGGATACAGGGTACAAACCCACTTATGTGGATTTTTTTTTTTTTAAGATTTATTTATTTATTTATTTGACAGACAGAGATCACAAATAGGCAGAGAGGCAGGCAGAGACAGAGAGAGGAGGACGAGGGCTTCCCGCCAAGCAGAGAGCCCGATGCCGGGCTCAACCCCAGGACCCCGGATTCATGACCTGAGCTGAAGGCAGAGCCTTTAGCCCACTGAGCCACCCAGGTGCCCCTACGTGGCTATTTATTAAGAAAAGAAAAAAGTCAAACTCAAAGAAACAGAAAAGTAGAAGGCCACAAGCTAAAGACTGAGGGAAATGGGGAGATGTTGGTAAGGATACGACTAACATTCACAAGATAACTTCTGAGGCTCTATCATACAGCACATTGACTACAGTTGCCAATATTCTATGGAACACTTGAAATTTGCTATTCAAGTAGATATTAAGCATTAGAACCACCAACAACAGAAAATGTAATTGTGTCAAGCGATCCTCTACTGATCAGGTTCATTTTGTTAGTAATTTCATAATGTAAGGGAAACTCAATGTATGGGTCTAGAGAACAAGGCCTGCCTCAGGATCCCTGCTCAGCACAGTCACCACAGGTTTCTCTCTATCTGTCTGCCCCTCCCCCTGGCTCTCTTTCTAATCTCTCTCTCTCTCTCTAATAAATAAATAAATAAATAAATAAAAATTCACGATGTATATCAAAGCATTATGTAATATAATTTCAATAATACAATTTTATTTGTCAATCATACCTCACAAAGATGAATGTAGGGTAGCAGGTAAAAAAGCGATATAACACCACAAAAAGAACCATACAGGGCAGTCTGGAGAAGTAACCCATGGTTCACATAAGCAGTAAACATGCCCATGCCTCCAATTTCAGTCACAGGCAGGCAAGAGGAAATGTCACCCCAAGGAAGGGTTCAAAACCCAGGCCACAGAAATGGCACCGATCTGAACACAGAGACCCAGCCAGGGAGAGGGCAAGCAAGGTGCATTCCATCAGCCTCAATGCACGACCACTGACCTGCGATCTTAGCCGATCAGGGCTCAGCGCAGCGGGTACTGGGGCTGCGGGCGGACAGAAGGGCACACCAACAACTCAGGGCCAGCAACAAAAGCAACTGCCCAGAAAGATGGGGAAGCACACAGTGAACACAGTCCACACCAGAGAAGGACAACCCTCCCCTGGAGAATGGAGGAGGGGAATCCGCAGGATACAGAGTCCAGGGCAGGTCAAGGGGATGCTGAGGGCCTTACCCAGTGACGACACAAGTGCAAAGTTCTCCAGCATCACATGGTGGTACAGCCGTCTCTGAGCCTCATCAAGAAGCCTCCACTCCTTCCAGGAGAAGTACACGGCCACGTCCTCAAAGGTCACACCACACTACCATGAAAGGAAAACATGGAACCCTGAGCATTCTCTCTCTGAGAACCCACCAGCCAACCCACACACCCACCCCAGTCTCCCCTGGCAGCCCAGCTCCCCTCCTCAGATAATACCAAGTCTTGGTGCCTCTAATGCTGCTCTCCTCTCACCTTCCCACCAATCACTGTTCAGTGCTCAGCAATAACACACAGGGGACACATGGAGGCAATGTGGCCTGCAAGTCCCATCCCCCTGCTACGATATTCCCATATAGTCTCCCAGGGCAAGCCCTTAAGACAGCCAATTACAGGCCCTGCTCTGCCAGGAAGTCTTCAATACCAGGACCCTGAGGCCCTTAGCTCACACTTCCTCTCCAGGTCTACATGATTCTGTAGACTGTACCTCTCTCATGTCTTCAGACCCCCCAGATGAAAAAGCCCACACCTTCCAAAGGATTCTCCCTTGACTCACACTTGTCCTTGTCACTTGACAACCAAAGGATGTGTGACAAACACAAACAGGTTCCACTACCACCCCAATACGCCCATGGATCCCAGCTGAGAGAAAGCCTCAAATGCTACTGAGAAGCCTCCTCACCTGCCTCTAATCTTCCCTCCAGTATGACACTCACAACCACTGTCAACCTAGAATGTTCCTACTCATCTTCTACTCCCCTACTACCCATGCTGGCCCTCCACAGTTGGGAACCAACCATCCACTACTGGACCTTTCTGAAAACCCCAGACCTCAGGCTCTCCCTGCCAGGCACAGAAAAGCAAAAATGACATTTGCCCCAGACTGTTTCTGGCACGAAGATTCTGAAACACTCCGGATGCCATAAAAGCTGACCACAAAATTCTGGTGAAGTCCTAGAACACTGAAGAGAGAGCAGCTCCAGCCTCTCAAATACTCGCAGGATTGGCCACCTGGGTGGCTAAATGGGTTCAGCATCTAACTCTTCATCTCAACACAGGTCTCCATCTCATAGTCCTGAGTTCAAGACTCGTGTTGGGCTCCACACTGGGAATGGAGCCTACTTAAACAAACAAACAAACAAACAACCCCCATGTCCTCAGCTATCACTTGTCCCATCATCCCACGGAAGGCTTGTCCGTGTATCTGCCAGATCACTGCCTCTCTCCTTCACCTGTGTTCACAATGCCCAGCAACCCCGACCACGTGTTGAGCAGGAAAACCACTCTTCGGCACACTTTACTAGGTCCCTCTGACCTACTAGGAGCATTGCCATGACACTCTGCGTTCCCTTCCCAAAGGTGATCCAAGTCTCCACCCTGGTCCACGCAGCAGCCATCACTTTTCAAACTCTCCATCATGAATCCTTCCCCCAGTTTCCCAAAATTTCCTGTCCAGCTGCCCACTTGATGCCATCACTTACCATCTTCTGAAACACCTAAGTCGCCTAACGCTGTGGAAACACGTTCGGACACCCCCAAAGATAAGCAACTTACTGTTAACTTCCATCAGGTTGATGGGACTTTCCCTCCCTTCAGCTGCTAGAACTGTGAAAATTAATGAGGGGAAACCTCTCTAAATTGGGGTCGCGAGATTGCACTGGGAGCAGCTCTCAGACACTACCAGAGGGGGTGGTATCAGCTACGGGCCCAACAGAAAAAGATGGACTTGAACTAATTTGGAGATACTACTTCACTACAACCCCCCCCCCCCCGCAAAAGACAGCCTTTTCATGATCGTCCCACCCAAGAGCTCAGCCAATGAGAAGCCACTATACTTCGACCTTCCAGTTTAGTCCAGTGGACTTGAGAGTACATAACAGCTTTAGTTCCTTTCCTTAAGGGGTGGGGGGGGAAAGACGACCTCTCTCTTCTCCACACTGGCTACTGCTTTCACTCGGCTTCTTCGGTCCCAATCGCTGTTCCCTGTCGCTCCCACAGAAACAACATCTCTGCGGGTAAAGTGTCTGCAGTTTTCTCTTCAAGCGTCACCGACCAAAAGCCCCGGGGTTCCCCTCACTCCCCCCGTTCTCCTCTCCCCTGCGACACCCACAATTCGCCTCAGCCCTTCTCCGAGGTTCTCCAACACCCAGGACGGACACGGTGGCGGTCCGGGCCACTACCAGCGACCACCGCGAGTCCCTCCTGCTGCGCGCCCTGCCTGCGCGCTCACCCCCGGCGGCGGCACTTCTCCGCGGCCTGAGAAAGCCCCCTGACGCCCGGGTTAGGCCTCCTCCCCTCACCGCCAGCAGACACGGCCTCGGCAGGCAGAGACGGCGCGGGCCTCACCCGCCGCGCCGCACCCTGCTTCTGACAACCAATGCAGCCGCACGGTCCCGCGTTGGTGGCGCGGGCCCCCTGCAGCCCCCGCCCCGCCGGCCCCTCAGCCGGGAACCCACGCCCGCACGCAGCCCGCCGGCGCTCCCACACGGGCCCCCGCCCACCGGCGCCTCCCTGTCCCGGACTCCGCGGCCTGGGCCGCAGGGCCGCGAGCAGGCGCCCCGCGCTCGGGCCTTCGGGGTCTGGGTTGGGGGCGGCGGGGAGGGCCCGGGGACGAGCGTTTACCTCAGCCGAGTCCCTGGGCGGGGCTGCCGCCATCGGACTCTGTGGGCGAAGCGGATCCTGGAGCTGAGGGAGGGGAGCGGACACCCGGGCCATCAGTCTATGTTTAGGCCCCGGTACGCGGCAACTCGAGAGATGTCACAGAGCCTTGGGCCCCCAGTCTGCCTTGGAGGGAAGAGCCTCCCCTCACGTCTTCTCCAGTAATCACCCTTCAAAAAGTGCGTTCCGAACCTTCCCAAGTAAACAAACGGAAAAAGAGGCCGAACGCCGCGATTGGTCGGAAGTCCCGCCCTAGCGGATGCGCACGCCTAGAAATGCCTCGTCCTGTTCTCTCATTGGCCCCTTGCTCTGTCGTCAGGGCCGAGCGTCTTCCGGGTGTTTAGGCTCCCAGAACTTGGGCGGTCTCAAAAAGGGGTCTTCTACCCTGGAGTTCGGCGCTTCGGTCAGGTCTCACCTTGCGGGCTTCCGGAAAGTGCTGCCCCTCCCCAGAGGCACCGGACCGCATTTGGTCCTTGTTTAAGGCGGAGAAAACTCCAGGAAGGCCAATCTTCTTCCAAAGGAGCAAAACGTTACATTAGATACTCCCGAATTCCGTGGCTGAGGTAAATGACAAATCATCCCTTGAGGCGCCTCTGAAAGAAATGAGTCTCTACCTGGAAAGTTGTTGTTGCTCTTTCATGCTTGCGTCCGTCAGCGCGTTAGAGTCAGTTCATAGTTCGTTAGGAACTTAGAAACCTTCCTGTTAAATCATAAAACTTCAACCCGGTGTATTCTGAGGGGCTTTCGGCGCTATTCATGGGTTTGTGGGTTGGGCAGCACCGCGTCCAGCACGCAGAGGGCAGCTCCAAAACGCTACAGAAAGGAAAGGGTTTTTTGTTTTTTTTTTTAAGATTTTATTTATTTGTCAGAGAGAGAGGGAGAGAGAGCGAGCACAGGCAGACAGAATGGCAGGCAGAGGCAGAGGGAGAAGCAGGCTCCCTGCCGAGCAAGGAGCCCGATGTGGGACTCGATCCCAGGACGCTGGGATCATGACCTGAGCCGAAGGCAGCTGCTTAACCAACTGAGCCACCCAGGCGTCCCAGAAAGGAAAGGTTTTTAAAGGTAGGACAATTACATCATAAATAGAAAAAAGGTTAATGCCAGATGAAGTCACCTTACTGTGGGGACAAAAGACTCTTTAGGAGAAGCCATCCTCTATCTTTGGGGGATGGAGGGTCCATCCATGTAGATTACCTTTTTGGTGCTGACCGGTATATTCCTGACTGAGCAGTGGAAATGGCATTTCTGGGAAAGTCAAAAGTGCAGTGAACTTCGGTATTATGCCCTGGTTTGGTGACACGGCCTAGCAGAAGTGACTCCATTTGGCGCCTGTGGTTTCCTTTCTACGTCCCATACAGGTGCATGACAGGGAAGAAGGACAAGGGATGGTAGGCCGCCCCGAATGATGTGGTCAGTGACTGGTCAGCCTCTGGTTCCACACTAAGCCTCTCTTACCTGTATTGCAATTGCTTCCCATCTATGAAGGAACACTTTTACCCGTATATTTCTTCCTCCATAGTCTCAGATATACCCAGTTCCTTTTAGGAGTCTGACATCATCCCAATCATAGTGCAACTTGACCAATGCTGTTTTTGGTACCAAACACATGTTGCCATTTTCAGTTGGAGCCAGTGTGCAAGGGGAGAATCTGAGCGCGAAATGAAGGGTTGTTTGAACCCAATGATCTCACCTTCTTGCCGGGAAGTGACTCTTCTTTCTTCAGGCACTGGTAGCAGTGTCGCTTAACAATTGAAGTTATCTCAGAAAACAGTGGTGAAGTGCACATTTTGGAAAGCAGTTTCTAACCTTTATCAAGTTGTTTAAAGACAGTGGTAGAAATAGCTACGGGGAAACCCACATTTCATCTCCCTACACATCATTAAAGTCTTAAAAAACGCTATGATCTCAGAGAACTTTTAGAGAAGGCTCTAAGAAGTCTGAGAAAAGACTAAAAGAATAAAATTGAGCACGTGACTCTGCTAGACCAATATGCTTATTCATTGTGTCGGCTTCTATCTCCACAATGTAACTTTTTCATTCCTGAAAACATTGAGCAATGCTACTGTCATCTTTAAAAATAAATAGCCACTTATTTTACTAGCAAACAGGATTTTATTCAGGAATTAACAGGAATTTTAACTGGGGATAGGCACAGTAGGGCAAACCACAGGAAAGTCTGAAGAAACAGAAGGAAAGTCTGCTTTTATTAGGTTTTAGGAGACTGGGGAGGTTTGCTTTCAATTAAAGTTCATTGAAGGGGTACCTGGGTGGCTCAGTGGGTTAAAGCCTCTGCTATCAGCTCAGGTCATGATCCCAGGGTCCTGGGATCGAGCCCCGCATCAGGCTCTCTGCTCGGCAGGGAGCGCCCTGCCTGCCTCTCTGCCTACTTGTGATCTCTGTCTGTGAAATAAATAAATAAAATCCTTAAAGAAAATAGTTTCATTGAAGACCAAGAGTTTCCAGTTGTGACAGTTTTCCATTGGGTCTGTGCCCTGGTTAGGGTGTAGTTGCTGGGGCAAGGGGCATTCATTCTTCTTTTTGTTAAAAGCAGGAGATTAAATTACTACTGTGAAAGTTTCCTCCCTTGTCAGGATAAAAATAATCTTCCTTTTTCCTGCTAATTAACCATTCCTGCCTCTGTGAAAGTTTCATTTTACTTTATTTTTATTTTATTTTTTAAAACTAAATTCAATTAATTGACATGTAATGTATTGTTAGTTTCAGAGTTAGAGTTCAGTGATTTATCAGTTTTTTATAATAACCAGTGCTCATTATATCACGTGCTCTCCTTAATGTCCATCACCCAGTTGCCCCATCCCCCACCAGGACACCTTCATTTTAAATGCGGTTTCCTTTACTAATTTTAAGACTTGGAGAGAGAAAAGGACATTTAGGGTACCCATAAGAATTAAAATGAAGAGAAATGGATATGTCATGTGTATTTACCGTTCCCACAAATGTCCACTGAGCACATACTGGTTTTTTAGGAAATTTGTTCGATGCATGGGAGAAATGCAGGCACAAGACAAGCAGTCCTGCCTTCAGATGCGTTGTATTATGCTCAAGGAAAACACAGGGAACATGAAAACAAAAGTTCAAGTTTACATTCAATGTTAAAATGTGGCAGGTGAGATAGAAACAAGGAGAGGTGATTTTGTGAGAAAAGAGATCCACTGGGCAGAAAGGAAGACCTTGTTAATAACAGCACCACTGAGCAAGGATGAGTCCTTCGGGTTTTTATTTTTATTTGTTCCAGGTTTTGTTAAGATTTTATTTATTTATTTGACAGAGATAGAGAGACAGTGAGAGAGGGAACACAAGCGGGGGCAGTGTGGGGCACCTGGGTGGTTCGGTGGGTTAAAGCCTCTGCCTTCGGCTCAGGTCATGATTCCAGGGTCCTGGGATAGAGCCCCGCATCGGGCTCTCTGCTCAGCAGGAGCCTGCTTCCCTTCCTCTCTCTCTGCCTGCCTCTCTGCGTACTTGTGATCTTTCTCTGTCAAATAAATAAATAAAATCTTAAAAAAAAAAAAAAACAAGTGGGGGCAGTGGGAGAGGGAGAAGCAGCCTTCCCACAGAGCAGAGAGCCCAATGTGGGGCTCCATCCCAGAACCCTTGGATCATGACCTAAGCCAAAGGCAGAAGCTTAGCAACTGAGCCACCCGTTCTGTTAAAAGATGAAGTGAGCTACGTGAAAATTTCGAAGAGCTTATTTGAGCAAACACCAAAACCATTCCGGTAACAGCGAACCAAACCAGGGA